GAGGGGAGGGGAGGGGGGAAGGAAAAAAATTTAAAAAAAAATAAAAAAAAAGAAAATTTTTTTAAAAAAAGAGGAAAAGGCTGCTCATTTGATAAGTCATATGCTACAACAGGGTCATTTAGGATATAAAAGCTTGAATGTAAAATAAATGTATTTCCCATCAGCTCATGCTGACCTGTAGAGGTAGTACTCAGTGTGTCTAGGGGGTGGTAACAAACAAATAAAACACAAAAAAAATAGGAAAAAAAAGCAAAAAAATTGTATTTTGAGGGAAACCCAGCCTTTAAAGGTGAAAGTAATTTGTGCATGATTTTTTTTATTATTTTTGCATATACTTACCATTTTATTGTGTATATATAGATGACCATATAGGAAAACTGACATTTGTAATAGTGGATTTGTTAATACTTTTTACATAACATTACTGTTTAAATTGTAAACATAAATTTTTCTCAGGATTAGTTTGGAAAATAATCTGAATTGTCATCTTAACATCCATATAAAGAGACATTACTGGTTACGTTGCTCAGAATTTCTTTTCTTGGCATTTAGAAGATTAAATAGAACATCTGATCTGCAAAAGCTGTTCCTCTGAAAGGAAGGTTTATGGTGGCAAATGAAGCTTTTCATTTGTATAAAGTGTACCTGTACTTTGTGTAGATGCTGAGCTCGTCATCTCGGAGAAGTAACATTCACCTTGTTTTCTAGAGTGCCATCGTTTCAGGCAGTGGGGTTTTATAGTGGCCTCCTTCTCTTCCTCCCTCCGGTGGTCTCTTCCCAACCGTTTTGTTTTGGTGGTTTTTCTTTTTCCCAAGTCATATAAAGCCACTTGGGTTTTGTTTTTTTGTTGGGTTTTTTTTTTTGATTGGTTGTTGGTGGTGGTTTGTTGGGTGGGTTTTTTTGTTTTAAGAAAACAGACGGTAGAACTGAGTTTGTTACAGAGTTTGCATTCCTGGGCTGCTTTAATCCCATGCCTCTTTGTTTGTGCCTTCCCTCCCCTTCCAGGTCTGGGTTTTTTTGTCTTTGGTATTTTTGCAAACTCCTGTAGGAGACGATAACTGTTGAAGCTTTAAGTAAATTTTACAATTAAAGTATTTTTTTCTCACTCCCCTCTTAGGCATTTTTATATTTACACTGAATTATTTAAACCAAACCCACTTCAGATGATGAAATATATTTTGTATTGCCTTAAAGACCCAAGCCTTTCGTATCTCACCGTGTTTCCTCGTTGACCTAGTTACCGTGTAATTCAGACTCTGCGTTTGTCTGGTTCAGTCGCATTACCAGTCGAGGCGGCAGTGACTTTGATGCCACGAATGCAGATTAGACGTGGAATGACACGCACAGGCACAGCTTGGAACAGGAGTTGGGACACTTCAGTGGTAGGAAGTTAAGTGGCGTTTACTTTCACGTACTTGGTTGGAGAGGAAAGTCTGTACTCTGCATACGCGGCTGTATCTAATGCAGCTGTTCGGGAGGTGATGCTTTTATGGAAAGTACTCTTAGCTTTTAGAAACTCTTTTTTATGTACATTTACAGAATACTGCAGACCGACCTGACCTTCAGTGGGCACTAATGTGTGCAATGAGTTTTAAAATAATGCTAAAGACAGACCAGAACCGGTGGCATCACTTAAATTAATAAACCATTTTCAATGTATTCAAAGTGTTTTACTTCAAAAAGGAAAATATATATATTCCAAAAATACATAAAGTCATAACAGTTACTGAAACACTAAGATTAAGTGATGTTAATTTGACAATTTTTTAAAACAGTTTTTAGGTTCATATTTTAATTTGATCAGATAATTTCATCAACAGGATGTTGAGCTTTTGTTCATAGAAGCTAGTAAAGGTTGTACCACATTATGCATAATCAGTATTTATTTTGTTTTAGATTATTGTGAATGTGTAGACTTATGTTCACCGCCTAGGGAACAATTATTTATAAATTATATTAATCCAGTATTGTTAGCTGCTATTAGCAAAACTGTTCCAAAACGTAATACTTGCAAAGATCTGTATCGCATTTACCACACTGAAGTGTTTTTAAAAGAATCACCCTCATCGTTGAAAGCAAATGTACTCTTAGGGTGCAGATAGTAGTGTTCCAATAAGCATGTGATAATTTTAAGGTGGTGGTAGCGGGAAGATAATCTTGATTCCATTGGGAATCTTAGGTTTGCCTCAATTTATGGTTTTCATAAATTTAATGGAAAATAGCTTTTCCTGGACTGCTCAAGTTTCTTGTTGGTAAACAGTATCTTTCTAAAAGAAAAAAAAAAAAAAAGAAAAAGAAAAAAAAAAAGCATGAAGGAAAACTTGAGGCATTTTACATTGCCTCAAATGACCAGCATTGTATTCATAAAATACTGTATATCTTGCAAATCTTTATTTAAACAGAACAGTTGAACTGTTCGTTTTTCAATCTGAAGTAAAATACTTTCAAGACCTTTTAGTTTGCCTGCTCATTTGTCTTGTACATTTCATCTCTGTATTTGACTCGAGTCTAATTCCTTTCCGAGTTTCAATACTTTTGTGAAGATTTTGTGAATATATAAAAAAAAATAAATGTTTAATCTAACCACTGCGGTTTATCACCGTTCTTGATGCTTACCCTGTTCTTTCCTTCACAGTGCTGTGGAAGGAGCAGGCTGCTCAAGGCACGTTAACACTCGTGTGGTACCCTGCTGGGGCCCCGCTCCCTGGCCTTTGGAAGTCTCTCTTGGCCGTGCTGCCTTCCAGGAGACCCGAAGCACGACCTGCGTGCCCGCCAATAAGTGGAGGGACGCACGCGCGTAAAGGGCGCTCCGCGTATGGTTTTCCTCTCGCTGTCCCCTGCGCTGCGTAAGGATGCTGGTGCAAGGAGCCGTTGCTTTGCTGTCCAGCGCGGAGCCGGGGCAGCAGCCGTTGAGGGCTGCCCGCCGAGGAGGGCCTTGCAGAGAGAGCAGAGGTTCACGCGAGCTGCCTTCGGCTGGCAGCGGCGTTTAGCGTAGTTCCTGCGGCACGGCTGGTGTTACTCAAGTATATTCCTCAATTTGCTTGTCCTCCTTCCGCCCCTAAATCAGGCGGGAGCTGTACACACACGGAAAGGTCCTTTAGCCTTGCCGCTGGAGTCTGCCAAAGGCTGGCTGAAAGATAAGCCAAAATGTTTATCTTCCTCTTTGACATTAGATCGATTTGTTAAGGGCTTTTTACTTCTTTTTTTTTTTCCCCAAAAAGAGCAGTTCACATGGTATTTATAGCTAAAAGTTGTGTATTTATTATAATTTTTTTGAATTGCCAGTCTTCTACCTTGGGGCAGGAAAGAAGCTGAGGCATAAGTAAACCTTCCTGTTTGTGCGACGTGACGCGATGCTCTTTGCTGACCTCTGTGTTCGGGGCAGCTGCCTCGGAATTTACAGCTCAGGTTTTAGAATGTTTGTAATAAACTTGTTTCACTAGAACTTCAGATAATAATTAGTGGCCCAGTGGCTAGTGGCAACTTTCTCTTTTATTACGTACTTTCAAAATGGGCCTTTTCCATTTATTACTGGGGATATATATATGTAGGGGCTGTAACAACAATACATTTAATTATTGCAGCTACTGTTAAGTGCAAAAGCAGTGATTATTTATTCTGCTGACTCCCAGAACTTGATTCTCTTGCTCAACGATGCAAAATAATTTTCTAAGAATCACGCTTACCATGTCTTGAAACTGTTTGTCTTGAAGTACAGAATTTTTGAGCACTTCAATTTCTAGCTAATTTGCAGTGTTTTCTCAGAAATGTTTTCCAGTTGCAGCGACCTAAATGTAAATGCATCTTGATTATATTTCCATGAGCCATTTGCCAGCAATTCTGACGGATAGGTATTCATCTATAACTTGAAACCAGCTCTGCAGTTCTCATGGTGTTTAATTACGTCACAGCTGTAGATTTTCCTGTGCAGAGTTACTGGGCTATTCCCTGTCGTAATTTGCTCTGAGCCTAATAAACTCATCTTCGAAGGCTGGTGGTTAGAATGTTTGAGATGATCCCAGGGAAATTATCCCAACACCAAGGATGTCACTTAATGAACAATGTCCTGAGTAACACAGGAATTAAAATTCAAATGGCCTTTTTGGGTCTTCACAAGCCTAAAGTTTGTGTCAAGTATTTACTTGAAATGGAATAAAAGAGCCAGAAAGGGGCTGTTGCTTGTGCGTTTTAGCACTAGGTAGTGCTAGATCAAATCAATTGGCACTTCAGATTACTGTTAAATTTATGTCAATTAATTTTGAACAGCTTTGATTTTAATTCTTCTTATATGTAGTGGTTTCCCCACCATGACCCTCTTACCGAAAGTGGCCTCCAGAAACTTCTCTAATGGAAGTGTGGTGCCTTTGTCAGACACCTTGACCATGCAGCTCGACAGGCCTCTTGGCGGTGGCTGGCTTAAAAACTGCCTCTCCCCGTTTTCTGCTTCCTATAGCACTGTGATGAGTGGTGAACTTGGAAATATGCAATGTAGTAGGGGAAGAGGGAATGTGAATCTTTAGTTTGCTGTACATTAATTGGTAAAAGCTGATGGGATCCTGGAAATTACTTACGTACACAAGTACATAAGGATCTTGGAGATCCTCCATGTAGAAGGCACTTGGAGGAATGCCATCTTCCTGCCTCCCAAGACGCGTGAACAGTGAGGCTCTGCGTGTCCTGAGGTGAGTCACTTTGCTCAGGCGTTGCTTCTTGTTGGGTACGAGTGACATGAGCCACGAATCTGCTCTCCGTTGAAGTGTGGTGGAGGTTTCTACGTTCTGCAGCAGGTTGAAGTAGCTGCAAAGGTGTCTGTTGGCAATTGGGCTGCTACCGGTATGCCTCGGTTCTGCTAGGAGCCCTTCAGAAGTGCCTGTGTAATCCTGGATGGCTCTTGGTGTTTTAAACTGCCTGAATTGTCTTAATCCTTCTTAACTCTGGGTCCATCCTTTTCTGTGGCCCAGAGGTTTGGTGGTGAAT